GGGTACCTATATAGGTATATATATCTACTTAATAATTTTGAATCCGACGAAACCGTGGAAACACCTAACGGCATGATTATTCCCCAAGTGTTTTCACTGCACTTTGCCACCTATCTCTATCTTGAACACATTCTCTCCGGTTTTTAACTCCCAGGAATTCCAAATCATCTTCTACCAGGTTGATCTATCTTTTCCCGGTCTTCTCTGGGGTTTTTTTTAGCGATTTCCATTCAATAGTTATCTAAAATGTATCGTCTACACGGTGTAAACTACACCTATTATTATTCAGGGTTCTAATTATTAAATTCTTTCGCTCTTTTCATAGCTAATTACGTTAGCGTTAATTCCGTCATACCGCATAGCTCTCTATTGTATTCTCCTCCGTTAGTTTCCCGTTATTTCATCAATAATAGATCCAAATATTTACCGCCAGATTTTTTTTCTCGAATGTTCTCAATAATATATTATAGTAAATAAACTATTATGCTGTATAGATACGGGTTGTTTTCGAGTATATTATGGTATATTATATACGTGTTGAATTTCGGAACGATCACTGCGCGTAGTGTCATCAATCAAAACCCTATTTTACGTTCCGTCGAGTTTTTGGACCTGTAATAAGTATAGGTGAGCTTTCGTGTACATAACGGAACAATAATAATAATAATTTTCGTCGATTTTTAATTCATCCTGAGGCTAATAACGCAATGAAAATGGTTTAACCTAGAAAACCGATATATTTTTTTATAATATTATGCATCACTCAAAGTCAATGTCAAAGTCCGTAAGGGTTGCACGAAACGTATAAGCTCATCCCGGTCGATTATTGCTTTATAAATATAGGTTCATATTACGATTAAATGTAAAAAAATATGTACATTTTTTTTTTTATATTTTAAAACGTAATCAGCAAGGCATCAAATATAATACCCATTCGAGGGATTCCCGTCTTGGACGGCAAAAGTTTCGTTGACCAATAAATGCACTGCGTAATGATATTTATAAATCTGTAGCCAACGAAATTATAGCAACCCGCGGGTGTTATAAATAATTCCATTAAACGTTTCATGTACCGACAACAATAGGGGGTTTTTGTGCTACATCGGTTAAAAATAACATATAAACCCGTTAATGTTATTTATCAATATCTGTCTCTGCGCATGCGCTCTGAATATCGGTACGGTTATTCGATTATCGTAATCCGTTATTTATCATACAATATGAACCTATACGTTATCGCATCGATTATTTTTATACTCAATAATGTAGAGTATAATATAATATATATTTATATGATTATCATCATTATTATTATAATATCGACGAATCGTATTATTATATTTATTCAAAATTAATAATTAAAAAAACATCGAATCTATTGAACACGCGTTCGTCTTTTTAAGTGATTTAATAATATAAAAAACAAATCGTTGAGTATTTACTTTTTATGGTGCCTTAAAATGAGTTCACCACCGTCACCATAGTAATTTCTTCTAGGCAGGCCCCGACTTCGATATTTAGTCCATATCGAATAAGTATGAATTATATTGGTATATTATTTTCTATTATTATCGTATTTTCGCGGTACAGATTACACAGCTATTGTTTTCTTTTTCTTTTTTTTATCTAAAAAGTGAAAAAAAAAACTCGATCGGACCAAAACATTGATCCCGGGCCGGGAAAGGAAAACGCTTCGGCCGTTTGTTTGTCGTTTCCGCGTTACATTATTCACTCGCGACGACGCCGCGGCGGCCGGCGACATTTCGGCAAAGTCAACACTTACGGGCCCACGCCGATTCGCGACCGTTTCGGCAAAAAAAAAAAAAAATAGCCGAGAATATAATAACGTAGGTTCCCGTTGTACGGCCGAGTCGAATGTACCGGTATAATAATAGCCGTTTTATATACCAGCTGTATACCTACCCGGCGAGCTCCGCAAAGGTCCGAAACGTTTAACGGCGTCGTCGGACGACGATCGATGACCCCGCGGCATTTTCGACCGGCTGCGTAACGTTATTTGTGTATACGGAATCCCGTTGTACTTACGTCGGGTCGACGCGGACGGCAGGCACGACAAAGGCCCCGCTCTCCCACTAGCGCGATGCGATCGACGCGATCGACGCAACCGATGAAACTGGCGATTTTTATCGCGTCCGTTTTGCCAATATTTGTTAATAGGACTCGCAACGCGACTGTTGTCGCGTTATTTATTGTGTAACATGTTCGGTTTCATTGCAACGGTCGTCTGCAACTTTGGTTAACCCCGACCGAACCCGTTTATAACACGTTTATGGCATATTTTTTTGAAATGAGAATCTTGTCGGCCGGTGGCCAGTGCAAGCGAGTTGCAAAAATAGTTCAGAAAAACTTTCTTTACTCATTCGATAGAATGATTGAAAACGTATTTGGTATTACGCAAAAATAGTTCTCTTGAAGCAACATAAGCATTTCTGTTAATATTATTAGCTAAGTAACCCGAAATTTACCTATTTTTTTTTTTTACTTTTTAAACAAGACCACATCACTATCACACTATCATCTAAACTATCCGATTCCATATTCAACACACGGATGATGCTAGTGACGAATCGTCAAAAATAATACAAATATGCGATTTTAATGACGCCACGCTTTTGTTTCATGAGCGGTCAAGTACAATCACTATATTTTTCACAGTCGTTACGATACATCCAACTTTGGTTGTTGTCGTATGCGACACAAATACACACAATTTTTCATAGTTTTTGTCATTAATACCACTTATTGTTTATTCAATATGTCAAGTTCTGACGAAGAACAACTCCTTCTTCCACTTGTCCTTGAAAATAGAAGAAAAAAAAAACGTTTTTTTATTTTTTTTTACACTACATTTGTATAATCTTGATGGGACGAATCGAATAAGAGCAAATATTTTCCAACGTGTTGGATTAGAATTTCGGTTTCTTCCCGCCCATATGTTATACATTCAATAAAACGATTAAAAAAAAAAAAAAAAAATTAAAAACGCGTGGCGGGACTAACGCGATATTGCGTAACAAGACTTTACCGCCTAACCGCCGCGGGGAATTATCGCAGCCCGCCGCGATAGGCCGCGTTCTGCGTGCCCGAGCATGAAAGCGTACGCGCGGTTAAGTCCCGTACACTCGGTTCGTCCGCCCGGCAGTTTAACGCGACGGCGGCGGCGGTTTCTTCGCGCGGTTTTACGCCCGGGCGGCGGCAGCGATCGTAGTGCCCGATTAATATTACGACCCCCGAACGCATTAGCGTGCGCTCAGACCGCGCGTGATTAAAAGCCGAACGTTACGTTATTTTATTAATACTCGGCGAAACGTTTTGTCGGGAACACCGCGCTCGTTCGCGTTTTCACCGGCACGACAACGCAAGGCCGGTGGTCGGCGGTGTGTATCCGGAGCACAATCGCATAGTGAGGGGTGCGGTTTAAAAATCGCGATTCCCCTGTAAACCGATCTACGACGACTACCGCTTTGACGATCCACATCCACATCGATACTACCGCCATGCAGTATCACGGACGAAAACTGCCCCGTATTATCGTTATCACTACGTGCTGATAAAAATACCCAAGAAATAGTACGGGTGTTGGTACTATATTGGTTTATCGCCTATATAGGCTATAGTTGTTTTTTTTTTTTCATCTACAAACAACTTTCCTACCATCGATTTCGCACCGATTTTCGAGTATAGCACTTTTTCTGTTATATATTGTGTAGCCGAACTCCGCTCAGGATAGGTTTTCGTTAGCAAAGATCACTCGTTGAGTACAGATGTACATAAAATTCCCCTCTATATCACGACTTCACAATTTCTCATCTACATTAGTGGTCCACTCATCTTGCAAAGTACGTCCGTGTCTTCTTTTTTTTGTGCCTATAAAAAACTTTTCCACCAGAATTTTCGCTCACATCAAAAACTTTTCTGCACTGATCGGTGCAATATTGGGTAATTAATTTTATATTCTTTGTATTTTTCTTAGTGAACGGGTAACACTGACATTTTTTTTGTTGATTTTCGGGTTACATCGGCACCAAGAGAAGAAAATACAATAAACAGTGTCATTCCCATTAGAAATACCAGCCTTCAAAAAAAAAGTGGATGACAATTAATTAAAAAAATATATCGTTAAGTTAACTAGATACTAATAAATTAAATGAATTGGAATTCTTTTTTTTGTGTGTGTGTGTGTGTTTCATTAAATTGTACTTAAAAAAAAATAAAAATAAAAACACACACCCGGGTCGCGTGACGTGTATTTTATACACGAAGACCATTATAACATCGATAAAGATCGCGGTATACAGGCAACGATTGGACCGCCTGAAATACGAAAAAATAAAATTTAAATAAATAAATACCATCGTTGTTAAATATTTGTACAATATTATAATATTCGGCGTTATAAAATACGACATAAATCACAAGGGTGAATAATATTATTGTAGAAGAGTGTGATGTAAATTAAACTGACACTATCGAACGAAATTCGTGTGTGCGCCTTTTAAAAATTTAGAATGTCAAGTAAATATGAAAAATATACATAAAACGTATACAAATAAAATCACGTGAATTTATCAATCCCGAGAATTATACAGGGGTTTTTAGGTATTTTCGATACGAATATCTAATTGTTTATGTAAATGTGTTTATTTATTTTTGTTTGTTCGTGGGTTACCTGGGTGATGCAAATGATAATTTGTTTGTCACGTTAATAGCAAATCATTTTTAGGTCAGCTAGTATAATACACATAATATTTTAGACATTGTAATGTATAATCTTCTGCATTGTTAAAAAAAAATCGTCTGTCTGCCGTGTATTGACTTGTGCGCGACCGATGCACAACCGAATCTATCGGAAGTCTAGAAATATACAAACACAATAAGCAGACGGACGAGTCCAAATAGGCACCTCGAAGCCGGATTTTTGAAATTCAACTCTTAGACGGTGGCTGACGTATGGTCTGTTTTAGTATTTTCGGATAGAAAATTAAAATTGTTAATTTTTTTTAGTATTTATTGTTTGATGACGAAACGAGCGAAAAACCCCGTTATTTATTATTATTTGTAACAAGCAAGGGAGTACCGTATCAGAAAAAAACTAAATCATCGTACAACAACGGTAAACTGCGATAGGAACGGAGGTAAAAACGTGAGGACACGGTTTTTTCTTAATATTTTTCCCGTTCAATACCGCAATGTACGAGTAAAACCGTACGAGCAGCAAATATTATAATATATTTGTTTCTGAATAATTATTACCATATACAGGTTAGAAATTATTTTGAAAGACAGTCATTAGCTCAATAAGTATTTATTTTTTTTCCTAGTTTTTTTTTTTTATGATTCGTATAGAATTTCATTTTAGATTCTGAGTGGAACGAGGAATGTATTGGTTTTACAATGATGTTTATTATTATTACTATTATTTTTATGTGAATACATTTTCTTCCAGAAAGCATACTCAGATCATCAAGTATAGCACCTTTTCTGGGAGGTTATTTTTTTAAATTCTCATTAATATTCGAGACAATGAGGAAAATCTCTGTATTTATGTTAAAAAAGAATGAAAGATTAAAAATAAGGTTGTCATTGATAATCGTTTTTATTTATTTATTGTCATTATTAAGTTTTTATTATTGTAATATTTTTTAAACAATCGTTATTTCCATGGAAATGCACATTGTCATAATCATTTTATCATAATATTATATACTATACTACATGTTGTATTATTGACAAAGCAACATTATCAATTGAATTCCACTCAGAACCGTTGTTTTTTTTTTGTTAGCAACAGTTTATAATTGTTTAAATTTATACATTAAATTTCCGTCTGTATCCAATCTTTCCAACTCCCTACCTACAACAGTGGCTGCACTCACGAGCTAAGTATGTTCGTCCTTATATATTCGTTTACAGTTACATTTTAAAATGTCTCGATTATTTCTGAAATAATAATATCTAGATAAATACAAAAGTTAATTTATTACATTATCTATATCGTAAAACTAAGAACTAAAAGTGTACCTCATTTAGATTTCAGAAATTTGTGTGACTGATGTGTAACTATTTAAGGTACTTTATTAATTTATAAACTAAAAATAGAAGAATGTTCGTTTTTTTTTTTAACGGTCTATCCGAAAGAAAGAAATACCTAAAAAATGTTGGTGTCCGTAGGTAAATTATATATTTCAGAAGAATTCGATATAAAGTCATTTTCTCTACGGGAAAGAAACTTTTCGAAAACTCAATTACCGTCCGGAGGCTTTTGTCACAATGATCTTCTCTTTTTCATTGTCGATTTTAAAAAAATACGAATTTTATAAATACTGCCTATTTCACACAGTACGTTCATACACATATACTTTAGTTAGACTAGAAGTTTTTATTCACTTTTATTCGTTAAATATGCCAGAATTATATGAGTTATTTGATCGGTAGGAAAAAAATTGATACCTATCGTTATTTTAATGTCTGAATAATATTTTTTCGTTAATAAATTACCGAGTACGTAGTTATTATTGTGTAGTTAAAGCATCTTTATTGGTGTTAATAAATTATATTATAATAATAAAAATTCACTACCTATATGCAGTTTTAAAGCAAATTATTTGAGTACGTATAGTGTTTATCTTAACATTATTGTAATTAGCAAACATAGCAAGACCATCTAATCGATTCTATGGAATAAAAAAATTAGGAAATAGTCATAATAATGGGTTAATCTCTATCACATACACGTTCACGATAACATTAAATGTTTTGTAAATGTGTTATTCACTTCAGATATATTGTTTCTTAAATATAGTTTCACTCTTTTCAGAATTGAAAACATATGTCATGAAATAGATGTTGAACGAACATAACACTTTAGAGTGGGCAGTAGTTAAAATGGAAAAAAAAAACTTGAGGGAGAACTATATTTACCGAAAATTGATGGACGGTCCCGAAACCTTACTAAATAAAAACAAACTTTCAAGAAACTCATCGTGGAGATAAGAATTCCAAAATTTGTTTTCTCATACAAAAAAAGTTTAAAAATAAACTGAATCCTAAATATTATTCTACACGGCCGGTTCAGTAAAAATAAGATAGAATAGTATTTGATAACAAATAATTGAACAGGGTTTAAAAAATGTGTGTTTTTTAAAACTAATTAGAGTTTTAAAAATGTCTGTGACAATAACTAAAGTCTCCCCGGATTCGAAGATTGTAACGAATGGGCACCAATAATTTTACGTTAAAAACAAGGAGAACTTTTTTCCTCCACTATAACCACTGTGGCACTGTTTAAGGAGGAAATAAATGTTGGGATAGGTGTCCTTATTACAAATACCTAATGACTCTAAATGATATTTGATATTTGATTAGTTTGCCATTGTTTCTAATTCGATGAAAGAATCATAAGACATTGTCTAGGCGAATAAATTCGCATTAAATCAAAATGGTTAACTTTATTAATTTAGTGAATAATTTTACAGTTTTTATATTAAGAAGTATATTAATTATATTATTATACCAATAAAAATAGATGTGCGAGGTAAATTAAATTCGTATGTTATAGTATTTATTTTTAAATTCAAACATTTCGCCTAGAATGGTGTATTGGTCTACGCAATGTATAAAAAAAAAAATTATAATGCCCCGTGACCTTTTTTTTTTTTTTGAAAATCCGGGGGGGGGGGTGATTGGAATATCTATCACCCTTCCCATAGTTATGCCACTGATCCATTATAAATGCATACAATAATCGGGCCCAGAAATATTTTACGAGATTAGATTTTATATATTATTATTTTACCGTGCGGTTTGGATTTTATATTGATACTAAATTTCCGAATAATCTCTGCACACGTCATCAAGCGGAATCAAAAACCTATTTTTTATTTTGTTCGTGGCAGCTGGATTCGGGAGTTTGTATAATGATAATATTAATATTAAAAATCAGTGGTATTTTCAATAATGTTTTATGAACAAAACGTACAAGCCCGATCCACATCATTTTTACAAAATTCCAGTTGTATTTTTTCCATTTTCTATTTAACCCCTCGTATTATCATTTGTTAAACCCGTAGTGAATATTATGCAGATTACATGCAATGGATCGTGTAATGTGTTTGACATAATACAATTTATTCTATGGAATTGATACATTTACAAAATATGAAATAGATACCTAACCGAAATCGACGAAACGGATTTTATATTTATACATTGTGTGTTGTGGGCACTTTAATATAATCATTTTATAGTATAATGTTAATACAATTTTTCGGTTTAATGATATTATTGTTATTTTTTTTGCTGTGAACGTTTAAAAAAAATATATAATTTAAATTTTTTTACGTCATCTGATATAACATTTTTGTGAAATAGAAAAAAAAAACAATCATATTTAATAACAAAACGCCACTCTGTATAATATTATTTTTTAATAGTTTTAAGTTATGTGTATAAAAAAAAAATTGTCAGCCATCAAATTCTCTACGACATCCTATGCCTTAATAACGCTGCAATAAAACCGAGGATTTTAGACATAGGTATTAATGAATATTTTTTAATTAAATTTTTTTTTATAACATTATACGTTTTCTTTTTCAAACAAAATGCATTGTATTACACTGCCTATATTAAAACGGTACTATAAAACGGCTGATATAGTTAACGGGTGTGCCACTATTTCAGAAGGGAAGTTGTAAGGGCCGATATATTTAATTTATATCCGTATGTAATGATAAATTATTAAAAACGAAAAAGGATATTCTGAACAGAGTTTGATCAGTCATATTTTTTCTTTTGGTCTCGAATGTCGAACAATTAGTGACCTAGAAATCAACAAAATATTGCCAGTTTTTCCCCATTAAGAAAATTACGGGGAAAAAATAAAAAATGACCTCTTCAATGTATCAAACAAAGTCGATGAGGAAGTTTTCGATTGGAGCGAAATCTCTAGAATAAAATTTGACAACACCATAAATAAAAACCCTTATTAAAGTAAAACCAATACATTCCTCGCTTCGACCAGAATTTAACAGACGAATAATAATTCGACGATATTATAATAGATTCCAAAGTTTTTGACATGTTCCAATAGTATACCAAGTAGTACCTACGTATTATAATAATATTTCGATCCATTATGAATCGTGGCAGATTTATAACTGTGACAATCGAGCTGGTAATTTAGGGCTTAACAAAACGTCTAAAATATATTCTAACAAATGAATTTGTGTGTTTCACGGATAATAGGTTATAGGTATCTATATTTATGTACCTACATATTATATTCTCGAAAAGTCCGAAACGTATTTCATGTTTTGAACACTAATACTATATGCATAATAACCAAGATGAAAAAAATAAAAACCGGCGATCGTTTATTATAGTGTGATTTACACGATTTGCAATAAAATATTGGATAGGTAATCACAACGATATAATTTATTATATGGCCGGTGTGCTTTTACAAGCAAGTACCTATTTTAAATCTCGATTTTATTTCCGAACACGGATGCGGGAGAAAAATCGACTCTACGATTCGCGCATAGGGATAACACGATTTTCTGCAATATTTCAGTTTAATCGTGTCGAAATCCCGCCGAGAACAATTATTACCACCTTAAACCTGGTACGTGTGTTCACTGCAGGGTTGTACGGGTGGGTATAATTATAGCTGTTGGTGCCCGAAGTCGTTAAAACTTAAAATACCGTCAGGTATCGAGGGTACTACTGCAAAAGTATCGTGAAAACTGTTTCACAGGAAATGTTATGAGTTTCTGACGTTTTCAAATACGATAAATATTTTTAAATAATCTGATTTTTATTTTTATTTTTCTATTTAATGTAAATCTTTTATAGGACATCACGATTTCCAATTGTTTATAAACACAACTCATTTGAAGTATGGTCGAGTTTAATTTTTATTTTTCAAATAAATTTTACAATAAATCGAGTTGACAAATATTCATATTCGTAGATTCCATGGTGCTTTAAACAAATGTGCCAATTTAAAAAAAAAAAAAAAAAAAAAAAACTATTGCACAAGTATAAATATTTGTTTAATATATACAAGACACAACTAATTTACTAGCTATAATAAAAATTGATAAGCATTAGGTTTATCATCTTTTTTTCAATGTAATTTTCAGTGATACCAACCATTACAATGTAACATAATTGTTATTGAAAAAATAATAATTTGAGTTTTCAAATTTTGTGTCACCATTCAACATCGTCTTAAAATATCATTGAAAAAAGAGAGAAAACAAATGAAATAATATTGCTCAAGCTTACCTTCCGTGTATAAGGCACGAGAGTAAACCATTAGGTATATTGGTATCAATTTATCTTTGGTTGGTTTATACCTGTATATTATACATCTCTATGGATATTGGATCCGTTATGGGATGATAAACGTTATTAAAACTTTTCGCCGAATCAACAATCCGAAATCTCTAAAACCTATGAAGGTTAACATCGAAATAATTACTAACATTATAATATTCTGTAACTTATAAAAGTGATTTTGTGTACCTAGTAGTTAGTGCCTACATATAATATTATTATAAAACCATCCTGTAACTATGGTCGAGAAAATGTTGTTGATGAAAATAAACCGTAATATTCTGTGCAGTCAGTAAAATATGTACTCACTACTCTTCATAAACTGATAGGTAACGTACTGTATTTTATTGTTGTATTTTGACGAAATATTTAAATAAAATCTCTTCGTTTTTGATATTGTTGCGATTGGATTAGAGTGAAATACTATTGGTGTTCGAACAGAAGTTATTTTACAAAATTTGCGATTCTAAAACTAAGAAAATATTACAGGGAAACTCGGGTATCGTGAATCGTGATACGTGACGGTGTATCATGACTACGCGTCCGTCATGATACGGTGAAACCGAACTGATTACAATTTACAGTACCAATCGTAAAAACAAATGTAGTCATAACTCAATTTACACGCAATAACCGAAATATTATTAATAGTGTTGTATAAATACACATTTTAAAATATCCTTACGAAGATATGAGATAGTTGCTCGAATAATATTTATTTAAATGAAAATAAAAGATACATTGTAACAATTTAATTATTTATATTCAAAGAGAAATAATCTGCGACAAAATATTATAAATATATTAAAAAATACTGTTATTCATTATAAACCATGCGATGATAGAGTACCTACCATTATATGGCACATGAATTTCCGGTTTAAAAAAACGGTTATATGATTGATGTAACTTAATAATTAATTTATAAATTTGTAAATAAGTGAGTTAGATAAATTTCTACATAAATAAAATATAACAATAATTATAATAATAAATATTGATTTTGATTTTCTTTAATTAAGCAATATATGAGTTAATCAATCGAATTCATTTGTTTGTATGATGGTGATCCGAATGCCGGGCTCCAGAAAATTATTATTTGTTCAATTAAATAATAAAATGCACTCATAAGTAGCCAAACATTTTACCTCATGACGGTGTTTTAATTTAGAATTCATTAAAGATATTTAAACATGTTTTAATGAAGCACGGCCATATCATATAACCGTGTTACAGTGGCCTATACATATCTTTTGTATAAGCGAGGATCGGTGGCGAAAAATGTTCTCGTGAGAAGTTTTCAAATAATTTTATATTGAATTTCATTTTTATACACTTAATCGTGTACAATATGTAAAAATAAACGAGAAAGTAACGAGAAGATGAGGGATCAGATCCTTCCTCACCTCCTTCCTGTAATGTGTACCCTTATAGTTACAAGTGTTGCAATAACTAAAAACCAAACAGGTTTAAACTTTATTTTTCTAAGCATTAGACCATTGCTCATTAGCTTATGCGTTATCGTTTTATTTTGACAAATATTGATAATACACTTTATTTTTGACATTTAAACTAATTTGGTGATTAAAAACCGTCGATACATTAATAATATTATTGCCCAGTGACCGCGCTACGCCCATTTTTGGTTACAGTGCACATGCGTTACAATAATTAAAATTGAGTTATCGCCAAATAATCGTTCACAATATCATTATTTTAAAATTTTGCACGAAACCTATCTGGATAACGATGGGTATAAATTGTATAATATATGATATATTTATATATTTTTTGGAACATTCAAGTGTATTTAAATCCGATATTTTCGAATACTATTTGATTTTCACAACATTTAAGGACTATCCTGTGACGATACCGACATTGGTTTTTTAAACGAAAACCTATATTAAAAATTCCATAAATAGGAAAATGATGCTCCACTAACCTCCCACTTTTTAATCGTAACTTATCCCAACTTTTTTCATAGACTAACTATATTTATAATTTGTCAGGTATTAATTTATACCATAAATAGTAATATTAATCTCAAAAAAAAATCGAAACTCTATTCACGCCAAAGTAAATAATAAAAAAAAAAAAAAAAAACAAATTTTGTTTGCTTATCGTCTTACCGTTAAATTAGAAAACAACTGTATACCTAATATGAAAAATAGAAGTAAGTTTTCGTTGTTTCAATGTGTAGACTTATTTACATAATATTTACTTTTTGTTTCTTTATTTTTGTAGACTATTAAGTTTTATGTTTACGTAAATATTGTTTTTGTAGGTAAGAAAGTAATGTTTGTAATAAGTATATTAGTAATAAGTTATAACTTTCGTAACAAGTACAATATATAAATATGAGTTATATTTGTCAGTAATTTCAGGAGTTGAAACGTGAAATAAAGGTATAATTTTGTTTGTTTTAATATCGTAGTTTTAGAATAAAAACAAAGGTCAAGAAAAAGGGGGTAATAGGTGGAATGGCGGAAAGGTGAGAAGAGGAACGAAAGGGGTATGGTAGAGTATGTGGTTAATGGGTATAGGTGTATTCATATTCGCGTGTACGACGTATGACGCGACGCGCGGCGATCTGTCTACCGATAGGATTATTGACGACAGTGTTGCCACAGCACGCTATCGGTCGGATGAGACCATGAATAGATTCGCGGCGTTGTATGTTTGACAAATTTAGTATGATGTGTGTGTAAATTGTTCTATTTATGTGTGTGTGTGTGTATATGTGTGTGAGCGCAGATTCTACCATCAAGAATTATCTATAATTTAATCACAATACATTTAATGGGAAAAAAAAAAAAGGTTAAATGATTAATTTATTAATTAAATTATTATGTTTAATCGATCTCACAATCTTAAAATCCATGTGCGTAGCCGATTAGGTACACGCTGTGTGCTTAGTCTTATGAAACCTGCTATGCAATGGATAAATCGTCTTTTTTTCTAGATAATTAAATTGGCGTGCGTCTTTCTTTCCATCTATAAAATTATTATAGCAATAATTACCTATTATTTTTATCTAGATATTTTAGAATGTACTTTTACTTATCTGTATATTGTTTTAGGTAGGTGCGATACGTTTGAATTTTTAGCGAACTACATACTCACGGTAGAATAATAATAAAGTATACATGACAAACCGTTTTAAGTTTTTTAGCGGAAAAAATTGCGTATAATTATAAAAACTTTTCCCCAAACATAAAAACTTTTTCATTGGGCACCTATATTACGTTATATATACAGGTACAAGGGAAAAAACTAGACATCAGTAGTTTTTTTTTTTTAATTAATTAAAACAAGTACCTTTAGTAACTCGACGTTGAATAGAATTAAAATTAAAAAAGTTCCAAGTCGATAACCGAATCAAAATCGAACAAAAAATAAAACCAAACTTTTGTTCACCTATATAATATATAATTATTTTAACGATAAAGTTACAATATTTATTATACGGGTACTTGTATAGTATCTTATTAATCAGCCAAAAACAATTATTTCTAATTATCCAGGTGATAAAATAAATGAATTGAAGATTTTTTTGATTTATTTATTCGGGGTTTTTATTTCGAACTATATTACAGATATGCCTACACCTAATACATAATTCAATTTTTTACCTAACATTTATAAACATTCGAACCGTTATAATTACTGTTTAATTGTATTTCGGTATACAAAAATTGTATTAGTTTTTCTCGTTCAATTTAATTTCTTGTCACATGGCAGCTCACGTGGGCGAGACATGCGTAGTGTAATAAGAGATATTCCAACGGAATGATCACGTAAATTTGATATTCGATGGTGTATACAGACAACAGATGAAACTAATTGGATATCTCTAAATTGTAATAAACGGAGGATAAAGAGAATGATTTTAGGGATCTAACATTTAGACACATAATGGTATGCGCCAGTAGTGTATTTATGATTTTACCAAGGAGGCAGATGTTGAATATGAAAATTGTGGATTATTATTGTACAACGTGTATTCAGGCTCAAAAATGATACATTATTAATTTATATATCTTTGTAAGTAATGTAAAATTTTGGTATATGTCTAAATAAGTAATTATTATTAATTAATTAATTTATTTATTAATTTATTTATTTATTTTTATTAATTACTGATTTAATTTCCTTCATATTTTAATTGTTTGAATATAGGTTTCGTTTTGAACAAGAAAGTGTGTACGTTCAGGGTATTTTAAAGACTATGAACTATAATAATATTATTACCTATGAGTAGGTACCGACATATTTTTTTTTTATTTTTCTGACTAAAAAGTAAAGAAATTTTAATTTAAAAATAGGTTGTCATGTAAATAATAGATTCAAGGGGGGCAGTATATTTTCTTAATCACTCCACACAAATACGTCACTTGCATACAGAGATGACAAAGGCTGTGGTGGTGATGACATATTGGATGACGTGTTCGATATAATTAGATGATCACAGATTAAAAATTATTATTCCGTTTTACACTTGTCGTCTTTCGATCGCGTACTCTTAAACGTCACATCAATATTTATTACTAGGCAGTTAAACTGATACAATTCATTAACATATTAAACAAACTCCGATATAACGTTGATTTTAAAAAATATAGCTGTTTCTGAAATTCAGCGGTATTCAACCAAAATTATGATAGGCATGCATTCCAAAGCTCAACGGGATATTAGTATTTTAATTACGGATTTCTCTAATTTAAAAATTTAACGTTCCCAACTAAATTTCCACCAGACCCAGAGTTCAGTTTTACAGATTTTTCTAATTGATGTTACTTTATGTTTGCTTATTATATTTGATTATATTATAAAAACCACCAATTTGCAATCATTTAATTATATTTTTTATTCAACAAAAAACACAATTTAAATGTTCTGGAATCCACTAGAATCTTCCATCTGAAACGGAAAATCGGTAAAATGATGAATAAATATTGTTAAAGAAAATATACATGGGCTTTTTAATTATTTCACCATAGTATGATATATATATATATTGTTGACATAACATCACTATCAACTGAGCTGAGCCCAGAATCGTTTTATCGTTAAGCAATGGTTTATCGTTGTTTACATATATATATTAAATTACTTCATAACAGTGGCTGCACCCAATCCTATTGACCTAGGATGAATTTGTTTTTCGTTTAATTTAAATTCGAAGGGTAAACTCTTGAAAAAATCGAAAAATAACCTTACAGTACCTCCCCACACGGATTTTTTTTTCCGGGGGTTATAATTAGAAATGCGAACAAGTCTTCTGATAGAAAAGTTGTTTACATCTTTGTAAAACTATAAGCTTCTTCGCTCCACCCAGAATTTAAAATGAAATTTGTTGGCCATTTTACAATACTTCTACTGGTTCCAACATTAATCATTTGCGCTCTTTATTTTTGCTGTTTCGTTAATTAAATCGTTGTGATAAACATTAGCAACTGTCTCAGGGAGTATTTTTTTCAATTTTTCACAAATGTCCATAGTGCTTCTTCTTCTCTTTTATCGTCCAGATCTCGATTATCCAAAAAGCCACGACTACTGCTGTTTTATAATTTTTTTTATTTCTTAAAAACATTTTTATCAATTACTTTGTTCCGACTTTCAAGTCAGAATTTTTTCTGAGAGGGAATCTGACTAGGGTGGTACTTTAAGGAAGTCATTTTTTAATTTACAACTCATAAAAAATGAAAAAAGCCGGGAAAAAATGAGGAAAAAACACGGAATAAACATGGGAAAAACGGAAAAGTTTACGACATGTATTATTTTTTCAATTTTTATTTTTTCTTTTCTTTTGTTTTGATTCAGTTTAAAATATTTGTAGGAACTTAAAGTTTGAATATAACGTGGTAAAATTTTCGAAACATTGTAGCTGTTTTTGAGTTATTTATAGATATTTTCACTTTACGGGATGTATTATGGTAGTATATAATGCATATGTAATTATTTTACTATATTATGATAAATATATTGTTGAAAAAGCAACACTATTAACTGAACTCCGCTCAGAGTCGTTTTTCATTAGCAATAGTTAATCGTTGCGTACAGCTATACTGCATTCAATTTCCCATCATCTCAATTTCTCACCAACAACAGTGGCCCACCCATCGTGCGAAGTATTTCCGTGTTTTATTTTTTTTCTCGATATATACTTATTATTTTCAGAGGTTAAGTGTTCAATTTCATCTTCTCACTGCACGTAATCCACACACATTAGTTATTTTTGTAACATTTATGTTATTTATGTATTGTTATTATATTATATTATTATCATGAAATATGAAACATCCGAGTATACAAAAGAAAAAATATAGTATCATTATGCTCGGGGATGAAAAAGTAAATTGGTATACGGTATTGAAATTTGAAAGTAAGTATACTAGCCACCATAAAACGCACACATGTTATTGTAAGTACCTGCACGGATTTGTTAACATTTTACTAGAGACTACAATATAATCGTTAATCTTATTTTCGATATATTTTCCACGTATAAAACAAATTACATTTTCATGTTCATTAAAAAAAAAAAAATGTTATACAAAAAAAAAAAAATCAAATCGTATTAATCAAATTACCGTACGTTTGATTTAATGAATAGGTATACAATTCGAAGCGTGGAGTACCTATAACAAGACTCTTTTAAACGCTGTTCTCCCAATTGAATTGCGATGTATTTTGTGAATATACGACGCAATATTTTTTCCTGTTGAAATGCATTGCACCAAATTAAACCGCTATTCATTATGACGATATTCTGAGTACGCTTGACGGATGTTTGAAAATTATTGTAGAAGGGTAAGGAACACCGAAGGTGTATGGTCCCATAGTGTCCTCACCATTTGTAAGAGTTCACGCATCCAAAGACTACATCTGTAAATTGCATTATGTTCGTCTTTGTATAAAATGAAAAAGAATAAAAGTGGGTTATTACGGAAAATTAGTACACCTGGAATAACCCGGGTCTTCGCGAAAAAAATGTATTTTACGTAACTTTTTAAAATGTTTAGTGCCGAAGTAGATTCTTCAATAAACAGTCGAATCTGTCATCAATTTAGTTAAGTTAAATGTATAATGTTTATTTATTATTTACATTAAATTCAAATTTCGATTGATATGTATTCATTTAACGAAGTACGTTTTTGTCGCACACACTATTTTACATTTACTGAATTATCGTTGAACTTTTCATTACCAACAGTTTCTATTTATAGTGCGATATGTGTCTAAGTTCTGAAGTTTATTATTGACTTTGTAAAATAAATAATGAAATTCGTCCGATAAAGTTATTATTTATTAACGCTATTTGTACATTTTATAGAACTAATGTCGAATTTGTTTGTAGTGTACTTATGAGGATTAAGGAAACTCATCATATATAAGTTATTCTTATTATAATAATGTAATAGCTGTACCACCCGACGTGACGCTATGTTGTCGGGCCAATTTAATTACCTTTTTTAGTTTTACTAATTTTTTTAAAATATCATTTTGAAACCCCAAATAGATCTTAAAAAAAAAAAAAATCGAATTTAACGTGTCTCTCGATTTTATTCACCTCCAGCTCTATATCACTGCAGTTATTCGTCGTTTCCTGCAGGCAATTTATTTTTTAAAAATAATGCATTCTTGTTCTTGAAATATAAATTAAGTAATAATAACGGAGGGGGGAGTTTATTTCATCTGTGACACTAAAGTAACCTATAAAATTGTGTTCAATAATTTTCATATTGTAATACTGAAAATCATGCGTGAGCAACATTTAAGGAATTGACGTTTTGAAATCGTATACAAATCGGGCCAGTCCTTTCCCATATTGTGATACTGAAGAATAAAAATGTTGATGCAAACTCTTGGAAGCTATTCTCACTTCTCAGGCATCTATCAAAATTAATTTTAGTACACTATCGGAGACTCATAGAATTATCAAAAACAGAATATCGGAAACTTGGCAGAGCGTTTGAACTAAAAAATACCTCTTTAACAGGTTTAGACATGCAATGCTCAACGAACTATGTGGAACTATTTCTTTGAAATTTAAAGAAGAGAATATGAAATAATACTATTTTAAAAGAATATAGAACATACGAACTTTACACACGACTTAATTATTAACAAGTAGCCAGCACTCACTTGTAGTAGATGTAGAGAAAACCTGCTGATCAAGCTATATCACGATCGATTAAGAAGAAAATTCAGTAGCAGCCTATTCATTCTATTATATCATTAATTTAAGTCACAACCTGTAAACCCTAGATTTTTGGAAAATTGTAGACTAATAACCTTAGATATTGAAGCATTATAATAAAAACCGATTTCTAGTTAGTACACTGTATCGCGTATCGACAATAATTATTGGATTATTAGTACGGTTGTACTCTAAGTAAAAACGGACTACGGGAAATTTGTTTAGTGGCAAATACAGCAAGGACGATGAATATTTGATAAAATAATTTAAACTCACATGTGTAGATACACCAAATGTCACTGACCACGGTTGCGGTAAAAACTCGACGAGACAAAACGGCGTTCGGCACGCGTTGGTCGGTGTAAAACTGCCGATTAAGCTCGTTATTTTATATAGGTACCTTCCTATACTGCTTTACTTTCGATGATTTAGAGTTGGGTTAAAACCGCCCCGAGAGCCCGCGTATACCCACCATACGCATTCCGGTGTGTTCGATTTCATTAAACGGAGTCGGTACGTATAGTTCAGCAGATTTATGATACTTCCCCGTGTAGTGAAATAAGTTGATTTTGTTTATTACTTCCGTGGTACGTATAATATAGATACTTCACCCGACGAATTTACCGCCGACACGGTTTTATTGTTGGCTGTAATTTACACCTGATGTCTCGCCTGCCAGTGGCGATATAAAAACCGCAAATAAATATACGCGTGAGAAACGTTGTTGGATCGTGCGTTACGTTAATAATCCAATATTTATTATTTTGCACGGAAAAAAAAAAACCAATTGTTTATTCGAGTATATTCGTGTATTTTCTACGTGTAAATTTTCAAAACGTAACAGAGCACGATACCAGTTGACGCGCACGTGCATTACGGTAATTCTCCGAAATCATGATTTATATACAACTTTTTCGTTATTAAATTAACGTAGATAGATATTTAATGCAGCCTCAAAAATCTAAATTAAATTTTATGCATGCAAATCGCACTCGCAGCATAATATTATTATATTTGGTTATTTTTCGTTTGTTAATAACTATGGTAAAGTTTTGCATTCGTTTTTAAACAGCGATCATTTATTTAATAGATTGAAAATTTGATCGGCTTAAAATATAAAAGCCGTGATGGGTCACCTGTAACGATTTGTGGATATACCATGGTAACTAAATATAATATAAACCATTATAACAGCCATAAAGACAGGCAAAGACGCACAGATAATACAGAGTTACGATTCCTCGATTAAACATTCGTTATTTCAGAAAGTGTCAACTTTTTTGAGATTTTCTTATTAATTTTGACGATTTATAAATCAAGTGGTTTTAAAATGTTACATTTTCGTTCTTTTTTTTAGTCTTATTTTTCAGGGTGAAACCACTACCTAATTTTGATTTTTAACAACAACCTCTTATATTAAAAATTCCATAAATAGATGTGATTCTAGTTTAAATAAATATTAGTGTTAAGATCTGTAGTTTCCGTTCGCCCGTTGACGAGATATTTAAGTTTGGGTAGGAGAAGAGTATTGTAGCATTGTTTGTGTAGCGGTATAGCACGTGACGTTTGAGTAGTACTCCGCTATTCTATTTCAACAAAACAACAAACTAAATAAAAGTGGATTATTTCGTTAGCGGCTTGACGGAAATTAAAAATTTTATCACCAAAATGTATTCAAACTAAAAGCTCATCGTTTCATGGAATTTTTCGTTCAGGTTGCTATATGAAAATTAAAAGTGAGTAGTGGTTTCAATCTCAAAAATATTGGTGACAAAAATAACAGTGTTATAACATTTCAAAGCTGCTGGTTTTGAAAAAGTCTAAAAAATAGAGTTTTTTAACATTTTAAAACTTGCTACCTTATGAATTTATTATCAACGATAAATAAGTCCCCTTTGTATATACTACCGTTAAAATTTTGACGCCTGCAGGTATACGCGTCCAACAAAAACGATATTCATATTCAACGATATCCATCCAACTGCAGGTGCGTATTATACGCGTCGTGTTTACTTATCAGAGATATTTTGCAGTTAGATAATATTAGAAAACATCATATGATTCGTGATTACTATACGAATCCAAAGCCGTTGCAAAAATTTAATTAGCATTATTGTTACCGATGTTATAATAATTTTATTGTTTGGTCTAACAGAAGAGTTCTAAAATCTGTTATATAATCTAACGTTATCTTAACATTATTGTTTTTATTATTATTTAACGAGATTAAACTTTATTGTTTACGATTATTTAGCGTTGTTATAACATAGTGTAACTATGACTCAAAGTGATATAATTACCAATATACATAGATAATCAGTTTCGTATAGATCTATAACCTCTTGTCAGTAGTTAGACAAAGTGGTTGAACTTTGGTAAAGGTTAATATTTTAATATATTTATATATTTAAATTAGTTATTTAAATTAATTACATTATTTACCTATAATAATAATAATAATACTAATAATTTAAAAAATAATGAAACATTAAAATATTCGCAGTATACAGAATGTATGACATACAAAAATGTAATACAAGCGTCAAAAGGTTGAGTACAGCTGCTGTAAGAAATAGATATTATTAAATTGTTAAACGTTTTTTACAATGTTTCTTAAGTTGTTTTTGACGGTTTTGTGTTTTAAATCACGCAAAAAAGACGCTTAAAAAAAAAAAAAAAATCCACTAAAATATTCACACTGTTTCTACAATATTATTATTAGGTACCGATTTTCTAATTAATTAACATAAAGTATTTGCACTAGAAATATGGCCGTGACAACTTAATTTAATATAAATAAAGTTTGTAGAGCTTGGTAGTGACAATCGTGGAATCGTATAAAAATATCTAATATTTAATTAATTTGTTCTATACAATGTCAATCGATCTATCGATTTATACATTAGGTATAGTAAGTTCGTGGCACTCTACGAGTGAAATCGGAAATACATATTAAAAAAAAAATTTTAATTTTCGCATTCCGAGTCCAAAATTTAAGTGTAAGCTGCGTGTTATTAGAATTTAAAATTTAAAAGTCTGATTTCTCTCAACGCAGACTCACAAATACATGCAAACAACTTCCATTTTTTACATTTGAGTAATATTATTTACTATAAAGTAAAATAAAAAATTTTTTTTAATGTTTTGATGATTTTTTAGATACTATAATATAAAAAATTATAGTAAACCCTTTTTATTTTATGTAGATGCATAGAAAGAGCGATCTGATTATTATTCTAAAAATGTCTATACATACATAATGCCGAATACTTATAAGACATAAGTTGGTAATACACTCATATTATTATTTATTTAAAGGTTAGACAAGATGCCGCGTGGCGAGGAGTAAAATAACTTTATACCCCACGAAATTATATTGGTCTATAGAATATATTATAGTCTAGATAGTTCGTCTCTTAACTTTATCTGTTTATAAATAATAAATTATATTATAGATAGGTAGGTTTTGTATGCAATAAAAATGTCAGCGACAACAATACAAATACGGGCGAGGGCTTAAAAAAATGAAATTAAAAACGGAAGTTTCCGTTTCAAAGAAAATGAAGCAAAAACAAATAGTAAAAAACTCACAATATAAAACCCGTGAGATAATCAATATAATACACTTACACATACTTTCTTTTTTATGTATACATACTACTTTTGTTATAAATAGAAGCGTAGCATAATAATGAGCACTTCAAAAAGTCAATAAAAAATTGACACAATAAACGAGCGTGACACGATTAATGGAACTTGCAATATTATTACAGAACCCATTCGATCGTTTTAAAAATAATCAAATATGTTTTCAAAAGATATTTTTCAAGTGTTTATTATTATTATTGTTTTACTTTGAAAATAACAATATTGTACTATTTAAAATGGTAACTTTAGAAACTCCATAGCAAAATTATTTTAATTTTAACCAAACTTCTAAATATACGATATTATGGTATGTTGGTAATATGTATAGTAGTTAAATACTGAATAACTACGATCGAATAACACAAAGAGGGAAAAAATAAATCACCGGCAAGCAACAGAGCTTTATCATTAGAGTCGAATTTTCTCTCACCTATTTCGTATGATACAAATATGCTTGTCGAAATAAGTAACTGAATACAATGGACGAGTGTATACTATTAAAATACTATAATACTATATTACAATAATACACTGCCACTACTACACAATTGTTATATTTGTTATAAAAATTAATTTTGGAGTTGATAGTTGGGCCTCCCAAAGAAACGACCTAGACACAAGCTTAATTCATAATTCTAAGTAAATAATTTCAACCACCTAGCTTAATTTAAGAAGATATTTAGGCATATGAAAAAAAAAAAACAAAGGAAAGCACGGCTCTCTTCTGAAACATCTTGCTAAAATTCACATTGAAATTTAATCCAAATTTTATCATATCCAATCACCTATAAATCAACTTTTAATTGCCTATGTTTAGTTCGTTTAGTCCAATGAGAACTGCTACAAAAATAATAGGAAAACAAAATATAATAAGATTATATCAGACATAATACTGCAGTGCATTAGTTTCTATTTTCGGGGAAATTCGACTACAGACTTTAATTTTAGAAGTAATAAAAACTACGTTCGTACAATCTTGGTTTGAATAATGATGTTTAGATAGTATGCAGTACGACAATATTATATTCGTCTTATTCGTGTGTCAAAAGACAAATATTTAATACATTTTAAATTCTAAACATAGATATGTATATAATCAAAAATTATGTAGTTTTTTTTTTTTAGTTAACCGGGTTTGGTTAATAATTAGTGATTAATCACCTATTATTAATCATGCTCAAAAAATTCCGTATAAATACCCACCTATTCTTGATATGAAAATGAACTATTCGCAATATGTATCAGTAATTATCAGTATTATTATGATGGGGTTTACAACAAGCTGAAAAAAAAAAAAAAAACAAAGACGCAATGGTGATACACTAAATTTTTAAATTTGGCGACAAATCCGATAAACTCCAACAAAATATAAACATTTCGTTTACACATAAAAAAAAAAAAAACGGAATTAGAGACTATTTGTGTTGTGTTTATTTTTTGTTCACACTGCAGTATACGTAGACAAAACAGACACAAAAAATATTGGGACTTTATGAGTTATTCTTATTAATTTACTAGCTGTGCTGTCTGGCTTGGAACGGGCAACGCCGTTCGTTCCAAAAGAAACAGTAGACAAATTATCGTTATGCTATTACGGTCCTTACCTTATTATTTATTTTTCTAGATTCTAAGTTTATCGAAGAATGTGTTGGTTTTACAAAGATAATTATCTTTTTATTTTTTTTTTTTTTGTATGTGGACTTTTTCTACTAGAAATCTTACTCCATTTATCAAGTATAGCAGATTTTATGAAAGGAAATGTTCTCTGGGTGGTGATTTAAAGATAATTTATTGAAATTCTCATCAATATTTGAAAAAATGAGGAATACCTTGTTATTTAGATTAAAAATAAAGATGTCATTATCTACCGTTTTTATTGATTTTTGCTATTACTAAGTTTTATTATTTTAATCTTTTTTAAACAATCATTGTTTTCATGAAAACTAAAATTGTTATTATTTTACCATAATATAACATATATATTGTTGACAAAGTAAAACTATCAACTGAACTTCTCTCAGAATCGTTTTTTCTTTAGCAATGGTTTATCGTTGCTTATAGATATACATTAAATTTCCATCTGTATCCTTCCTCCTTAACTTCCCACCTACAACAGTGGCTTTACCCACATGCGAAAAAAAACGTATGTTTGTCTTTTTTTTTTTTAATTTTTGTCATTTAATCCGTATCACCAATTTAAATAAACACAAATAAATAGATTTTCGTACATCCATACATATCAAATGTAATATTTCACCTCAATCTGTTCAATGATTTGGGCGAGAACTGGTAACAAACATACCTATCCATTCAAATAAACTTTCGTATTTATAATATTAAGTAGGGTAGGATTATTTATGATCACATATCCGTCTCACATTTAAATTAAATTATTTCCCTTGAATTTGTACTTTGTGATTTATATTACTAGTATGATAATTAATTTTACAAATAATTATGTCCCAATGTGACACAACGTCCTATGCTAATCTTCAGCAGCTTACGGCAGAAGTTCTGATTAAAGTTATGAAATACTGCTAATATTTTATTCGAGGTTTTATTAATGATAATTGATAACAATAATGGTAATTTATCTATATTTTTTTACCAAATATAATAATATGTGGCGCTGAGACTTATTTACATCGTATGCATAGGAAATGTTTTAAACGAAAACAAAATCTATTGATGTTTACTGTTTTCAAGTGGACACGGAAATGCTTCTCAAATTCACGGACATTGTATTACTATAATTTGGATAATGCTATGGAATTGTTTCCATTCAGTCTCTTTTGTATTGAAAAGCAGAAAGTGCGCATTTTCTCGGCTTAGTATAGGTTAGCTGGCTATATTATTGAAAAAAAAAAAATTGTTTTACGTAACATATATTATGTACCAAAAACGACCCTTATAAAGTGCAAACTAAATGCAAAACGGATAAGCTTAAAAATATCGAAGCACTCTATCAACCCACCTAAAAAAATGATCCTTCATAGAAGGAAAAAGAATAAGTAAAGAAAATAAAGAAAATAAACTATACATTATTATAAATCTATATAATAGATTTTTCACTTCGATCAGAATATAAAGGTCAAAGCGCAGAATACTGATTTTTCTGACATTTATCTGTATCATAATATTACCTAAAAGCTATAGTTAAATACAAAAAAGATGCGTTCATCTTATTTAAAACATCGATTGTCATCTACAATAATTATAGGTAATGTACTAATGTGTATAATTTGAACATTAGGCACGTCTTATATTTCCTAAAAAAACATTTCGAAACAAATTAAATTCGTATGATTAGAAATAACTCTTCTAAGTGTTTTACTATTATTAAAATAATATTCATCTTGTCTCATTATTAATTTGAAGTGTAAAAAGACGGGAACGTCATAAAAACGATATTAATATTTTCTCTTTACATTTTTTCATTTGTGTTTTCAACATAATCGCCCATATTCATGGCAGTTGTCCATTAATTATACTTAACATAAATGGCATGAACCATTACAGAACCAAAAACTGACCACTGGTACTGAATATTGAAAATCGTTCTATAAAATTAATTAATTTTACCGAATACAGAATTGTCGAAACGATAAATTGTTAAACTGATTTTAATTCTCTAACCTCAACATGTTACTTTTGGATAATAATCCCCTTATAATTTAATCATAATTTTTACTACCATATAAAAATGTAATTTCATTTTTTTGTTACTGAGATATTATTCTGTGCGATGACATAAAAACCATACGATAGGTAGAAATAAAATACCAGTTTCATCATCAGGTGAGGCTAAGGATTTTTAAAACGTTAACTACCTACCGTCAAGGTGGCTCAAAGATAGATCGAATTCTCTTGTTAAATACTAAAATGGATTTTAAAATTTAAAACAAACTTTATTACCCTTTATTCAAACTTCAAACGCAATTAATGACTTGGTACTGAATTTTCAATTATTTTTTGTTAATACACATAAAATTACTATAATATTGCAGTGCTAATATTCGATACGATAAAGTAGGTAATTAATTAATAGTATACGTTCACGGAGCGCAATCTGTTCAATCAGTTTATCTGTAATTGAATCAATAGATTATCAAACCAATAGTTTACAGAACTATTTTCATGCGACCAGGCACGAGAGAATGAGTTCTTGAACTCCGATGAGACCAAAAAAGAACCATGTATTAGTAATTCTTGGTTAGGTTAATTTTACAACAGCGTATTATTTTGCTAAACTGAAATTTACATAATGTATGCAATACTATAGCGAAACCATACACAAAAACAATTTAATGCAATATTGTGATTTACATAAATTTACAAAACTTATATACATGCACAAACGTCAAATCTTTTAATGCACTTATAAAATATATATTTCAGAACTACAATGACCGTGTGTACCTGCTTGTATGTGTTTTTGTGAATACAAAACACACACACACACACATTTTATAATATAATATGAATAATAATAACCGCAATGGTTTGTCGTTGCTTACAGATACACATTAAATTTCCGTCCGTATCCTTCCTTCCCAACTTTTAATAACAAATAATATGGAGCGCATGATATTTCTCTATCCAATGTCGTGTAAATACATATTATCGATGTAGATATTGAAATCGTAATGTTTTACTGTAGGCACATATAATATGACGTATATTATAAAATACACATCGAACTCGACCTAATATCTCGCGAGTATAAAATGATCGATTTTCATTCCTGTCGTTATTTTGCAATTTATTATAAAATGCTGTTAACATTGTTAACCCACGTCCTACTCGTGCGATTTTCGATGGATGTCAATAATGTTTTACGTTCAGGGTTCAAAAATACGGAATACGCGATGTCAAATCTAAATTACTCGACGAGTAGGTAATCAATATGAAATAATATAATATCATATTATAATAATACGGTAGGTGGGTTTATAGTTGTTTTTCTCCCCTCGGCTGATTCTATAATTGGATATTAGAGATGTTTTTCATAACTTTAATATTATATTTGAACATTGGAGATATTTTAATACGGAAAAAAAAAAATAAATTCGATTAACATTTTACGTGACTTGGCGATCATTGAGATACTTTTCCACACGAAAATCTCTGAAAATGAATATATAATATATATTATTACCTAAACGTAAAACATAGACGACTTACACTGTAAATAATAATTTTAGATTTAACTCGGGGGAAATCATAGAATTTGCACTGGCATTTGAATTTATCTAATTTCAATATTTTCTGTTTGTGTATTCTCTATATTGTTTGTGTAAACTAAATATTGTAACGAAAACAAAAAAAAATAACGTTCATTATTCACGAAATGCGCTGCTGTAATATTGTAGGGAGCGTTATAATTTTCGTACTCACGGTGTACCTGTAATCTATATACTCAGTGATGGTTAAAAAAGATTACGAGTATGTAATAAAAAAGTTGATAGGACCGTTCTTCTGCTTATAACTTTCGAGCGCGACGTTTTGCGACGATAAATCACCTCATCAGTATTAATTTCTTCCGAAAGTTATGAGAATTTGAAAAAATCATAAACACGGAATATAACCCAACCTATTAAGATTTCGATATTTTCTAAATTGTCTTCTATATTTTCTGATAAAAGCACTGCAATAAAACTATAAACGAAGAACCACGAATGAGAAACGAGCATATGTATATATGCTAATAAATAATAGTAATATTAATTATAGCATTATTAATAATAATGATTTTCTATTCTCAAAAGTGGTGTATTGTCTTTAGTTTTGTTCGCCATTATTTTTATGTGTAAAAATCTACTGACTATTCAAATAACAAACTATATTAAAAATGCCGCAAATAAATGGAGTTTTAGTTTGAATACATTTTGTTGTAGAAATGTTTAATTTCCGTTAACCCGTCAACGAGCCATATTCCACCTTTAAGTTTGTGAAGGGGGACGGTAGTCGAGTATCATTTTCGTGACGACCGGATGCACAGCGTTTGATACGTGATCTACTAGAATACACGATTCCGAAAAGTTATCACAAAAGTGAATTTTTAAAAAAAAAATTCACGAAAAATTTAACAACCGTGATATCAAGTTTTAAAGACCCTTTATGCACTGTACTTTTTAATGTCCATAAACTTTCCAGTATTATAATGTGGGTGTAACTGCAAAAAGCGGCCACCCCTTACTCCCTTGGTCCATGTCACGCAGGGTCAATAATCACTGGCTCAACGGGGGTATTCCGAAAATAGATATAAAAACTCGTAACAAATCATGTCTTATGGGTCTGTCATTGGATTGAACGGTATGAACGATTAAACGGCAAACGTTGTTTAATTAATACAATTCAAAGTCCCGCGCAACACGCATCAGCAGTAGTTTCATCAACGTGTAATAATAATGATAATATCGTATGGATGCATATTATTAATATCCGTTTTGACACTTCCAAACTCCATAGTGTTATTATGATTTTAAAATGCGCGCTGTCAAAATAGTTGGGTACATATAATTATACGCGGCTGTATTATGGTGCACAAAAGTTCAATAAAAACTTTATTGCGAAATATTATTTTATTATTATTAAATGCAATAGGTACACGCGATTGTTAAAACAACTAAAAACAGCATATTATCAACGCACGGCCGATGTATATAATACTATTAAAATACGATAAATATGCTGATGATTGACGTTTATCTAATAACATTATTGATTGTGAGCGAAGCGAGGAACGCATTGTATTGTATTGGTGATGCGTACCGCAGACGGTGTTCCACTAAGTTATACACGTTGCGATATCTCGGAAAATATTAACTTTTCTAGAGATTATTTTATTTTCGAATAATAAGCAGTTCTACGCCACGTGACGAGCTGCCACACAAACGACGCTCCAACACTCAACTCATGACCAAACATAATAGAGGGATATTTCGTAGACGGCTTATTCCCGCCAAAATGTATTCATATTACCAGGTCATAATATGATGTTTCTGGAATTTTAAATATAGATTTTTGCATGAGAATCAAAAGTCAATGGTCGTTTTAGCCCTGAAAATAACGGTAACAAAAAAAAAAAAATTATAATTGAAGTATACAATTTTAAAGCTGCTCGATTCTTAAATTTCCTAAAAAAAAAAAAAAAAATTACTACTTTATGAGATACCGTAATGGGTAATATATAATACATATTCGTGTGAAACTTTGTATATTATTATAATATATGTTTTTTTCTGTCTATAAACGACATTTCGGCTGGAAATCTGCACTGATGGTTTTTGGTAGCGAAAAATTTTGTTTAGTCGGCGCAATGTGGGAGTTAGTTTTACACTTTTTTTTTTCCAATTGTTAGTTTTCTTAAAAATTGAGAAAATTCAACTGAAAACGGAAATATTTATGTGTAATTTATACGCTTCTGTAAATAATGGATATTTTTGTATTTTTAATCCAGTAAATAATTACCCAGGGTGACGTGAAACTTTCGGTATAACGTATCCGTGAACAATTCAACGGTTCATATATTTCACATTCGGCCGATTATTCTGCAAAACCGGTACAGTGCGAAACAAGAATTCCTCGTTTATGTGGGAAACGGTCATGAATTCAATATTTCAATATTTGATATAATAGTGGGCGGCTTTTTGTTCGGCAAACATCAAATACTCGCAGTCTATATTATTGTACTTGGCGCCGTATATAACAATAACACAAAAATGCATTTAAATATTTTAACGTTGCGTTTAGTTTTTAACAAATCGTAAATTTATTTAAAAAAAAAAACAAAAAAAAAAATTTGTTTATTATAACTTTCCGAAAAACAATTAATGGAAACGAATAACTTTATAAGATACAGACTTTGCATCGTCCTAAAAAATATAGATATTATCGCATAGCAGGCCACTGTTTCGGATGATTAATAAAAACAAAAGACCCGATATTTTATTCCATTATGGTATTGAAAGCAACGATAAATCATTATTTGTCCCGAATAATAATAATTCTATTCGGGCTACAGAATTCAATTGCGATCGCAAGTGCAATTTTCATTATTACTATTTTATTCGCCCCTGCAGACCTTCAAATGGAATCTATTGGGATGAAATTTTATGTACACGTGGTGTAAGTATCAAGTATGTGTTTTTTGACGTTATAGACTTTTAACCCTTTGCAAATATTTTATTGTGTGTACACATTTCATGTTTACGCAGGAAACGCCGGGTTAAAAATATCCATCTACAAACTAAAATATAATAAAACTATGGCAACTATAATGAATATTTTAAATCAATTATATATGTATATAAATAAAATATTAAAATAGCAACAAGTTGGCTTGGGGAAAATTAAATTCTCGTGACGGAGCTGCTCATGAGTAGAGTATATTTTTTTATGGTATAGTATCTATTGTTCGTTTCGAACTCACTGTTAAATATCTATTATAGCGACAGTTTTATAACATTAAAAATGGGTAGTAAAAAGCCAATTTCATAAAGAGTCAACTTCTGTGTAATGAGAGAATGCGATTCGTATATAAAGTATAGTAATGGTTGTATGTGAAAACCTACATTAAAACGAATTTAATTCGAGCTATTCGAGAAAAGGGTTTTTTAACTACTGGCAATTCAAAAATACGTCTCTCTTTTTCCCTAATGTACCATTTCTGTTCAATTACTTTCTCGTACACCACTATGGTTGTGCATATTTTTTTTTCTATTATGTTATAATAAAGTGTTCCTCGGGTAAATAACAATAAAAACTTTTTTGTACAATTATTAATATAGTTTTCCCGTTTAGCCTTCAATTTAAAAAAAAAAAAAAAACAAAAACATAGCATCAATAATAGAGCTACCACTGTTGCAGTATAGCGTATAACTTGACAAATAAATAGCAGTAGCTGCATATGCAGTAGATCTGTTTGTAATTGCAGAAAATGATAATACGAGAAAATTTCGGGAAAATGGAAGAAATTAAGTCAACAATAAATGAGAAAGAAACTAAAATATATATAGTTGTAACTAGTAAGCAACTATAGAGTGGGAAACCTAAACTCAAAAGTTTCAAATATTGGTCATCAAAAAGGATGCGAATAGCCATGAGAAAATAAAACTAAGATTAGCACCGATAAACAAATGTTATTTTGGATTGGTATTTCGATTCAAATCAAATATTATCATGAAAAGCAAAAATAACTTTTTACAAAGTTCTATTGAGAACAGTTGCCTTGTATACGTGTGACGATTGGACAATAACAAAGTCAAAAGAACTTTAACTAGCGAATTTTAAACGAAAGATATTAAAAAAAATCTATATAGACTCAAAATTAACCGTGTAGGAAAATTTGAGATAAGGATAAACCAGGTTAAAAACTTTGTACGGAGAAAAAAATATCTTAAAACTTGGTTGTGGATGGTATCTTTAAAAGGCTGTGTTGTTAGACACGTGTGAAGATCATTAAAGACAATTGGACAGTTTATACACCGGAAGCCAAACACAAAAAGACCAAGAGGACGTCTCAAATAAAGATAAAATGATAGAGTGGTCAATGATTTCAATGAACTTGGAATAGAGAACGGGGAAAACTGGTAAAGGAGAGAGACTGTTGAAGGCAAGTGATTGTTGCGGAAATGGGCCTAGAATAAGATTGTGTTGCTTACTTTATATATAGTAGTTTCAAATAGGTTTTCAGTACAATTGTTGTAAACAAAAATGCTGGTAGGTCGTGCTTGTGTCGCATTGTTCATATTTCATTATTATAATTATTTGTGTATATGGAAAAAGTATAGTGTCTAAAAGAATTAAAATCTAAAAAAGTTGTTTAGCTCATTGAGAACTTACGCTACTTAGTAAGTAAGTACCTACACTTGTGTCGGTTTATTGTTTTACGTTTTGACACGGAAAACGTGTTTTAGCAATGAAAATATTAATGAATATTTTATTGCGGATCAATTATACAAAGTAGCACGGCAAAGATTATAATATGATTTACGTATTTAATAATTGAGTAAAATATTACCTGAATAACTTTGCTATCTCGATAGCGGAAATTCCCTTAGTATATGAAATCTTACTACATAACTAGGGGTGTTTTTTTTATATTTTACGTCACATTAATTAAAATTATTGATTCAAGACCAATAATCTATTGTTTTAATTAAGTCGTGCGATTTGCATTGGATAATTATGACGTTTATATTACTATAAACGTATGCGTGACGTTTGTATACGTGAATATAATAATTATAATGTTATAAAGCTACCTATCCGAATTAAAATTTAAAATTAAAAAATAAATGAATAAAACCGAATAAAAACTATTATAAATCATGGTTGAGAAAAAAAAATATTGTCCTACGTCGGGAAGACAATTTTAATTTAAACGGAAAATTATATTAATTTGTATCCACAAAATAAATTAAAATGTATTTCTTTTTTTAAATCTTATACCACTAATTCGAAAAAACTGCTAGGGGTTTTAAATGTCCAATATTAAGTCAAGTCTGAGAAAAAATGTTCAACCAACTTTTATCGTCACATTTTGAGATTAACAGAATGAACACGATAACATCTTGTAACATCAAATTTTAATTTAATACGTCGTAGTGGTAAGACTACAAAAACAAAAAAAAAAAACATTGCTGATTATTTTTACACATATCGAAACAGAAAAAAATCGTTTTTATTTATCGACTCACGTTGGTTGCAAGATAATATATTTCACTATTCACTCAATAATTATAAGTACATCTTATTGATTTCATTGCGAAAAAAAATAAAAGGATATTAAAAAAAAAAAAAAAAAAAAAAAAAAATTTTC